ACAAGTACTCCTGTTCTTTTTGCGTACACAACTAGATGATCTAATGGTCTCTTCTGGCCTTAAACTCTATGAATCTCTGAATGCTGCCTCTCATTTTTAAGATGTTTAAAGTAAAAAAAAAATCATACAATATTAGCTTGCATAAACACTTATAATCTAAAATTTCTCTCATCCTATTCAGTTTAGGACTTCTGTAAACTTTTAGGATTCAGACCCTATAAGAATCATGCACACATACTACTCTTCCTGTATATACTACTGAAATTCATGGCAAGTTTGTCTGTCCTCTGAAGGAAGTGACTTTCTTGAGAGGCTTCCAACATTTCCTCTTCAGAATGGATGCCAAGACATTTAAACCGCCACATTGGTAAACTTTTTATAAGTTTATAAGGAAGTGACCACTGATGCCTGCTAAGGGATAAGGATTTTATTGGTTTTGCAACAGCATAGCAACAGCTGCTGTTGAAGCTGCTGTTGAAGCAGCGGAAACAGATTCTTCGGAGATTCTTCCATGTATAGTGATGTTCAAGAATCAGAAGAATCTGATGTTCAAGAATGAGAGTCTCTGGCACATTTAAGAGCTTCGGTTACATTATGTCTACTTTCCAACAGGATACTATATGTTGTTAAAAGGGTGTGTTCATATTTACACACGTATATACACACATTCCTCAGGCTCAGAGGGAACAATATCCTATGTACATTCTTCTGAGAATAGGGTACTATTGTCAAGGTTCAAACAAAGGACTTGTCTACACATGGAAATCCGTGCACAGTAAGCTAGGATGTGAGCCTAAAGTGCACTAACTACTCCACACTAACTCCCCATGTGGACATTCTTACTGAGCCTTTTTTCCAATGTGCAGTGGTAGTCAAAAAAACTAACAATGTTGGGAATCATTATGAAAGGGATAGAGAATAAGACAGAAAATATCCTATTGCCTCTATATAAATCCATGGTATGCCCACATCTTGAGTACTGCCTGCGGATCTGGTCACCCCATCTCAAAAAACATATATTAGAATTTAAAAAGGTATAGAAAAGGGCAACAAAAATGATTAGGGATATCGAATAGCTTCCATATGAGGACAGATTAATAAGACTGGAACTTTTCAGCTTGGAAAAGATACAACTAAAGGGGGGGATATGATAGAGGTCTATAAAATAATGATTGGTGTGGAGAAAGTAAATAAGGAAGTGTTATTTACTCCTTCTCATAACACAAGAACTAATAGGCAGGAGGTTTAATTCAAACAAAAGGAAGTATTCCTTCACACAACGCAGTCAACCTGTGGAACTCTTTACCAGAGGATGTTGTGAAGGCCAAGACAATACCAGGGTTCAAAAAATAACTAGATAAGTTCCTGGACGATAGGTCCATCAATGGCTATTAGCCAGAATGGGCAGGGATGCAAAACCATGCTCTGAAGTATCCCTAGCCTCTGTTTGCCAAAAGCTGGGAATGGGTGACAGGGGATGGATCATTTTATGATTACCTGTTCTGTTCATTCCCTCTGAAGCACCTGGCATTGGCCATTGTCGGAAGACAAGATACTGGGCTAGATGGACCTTTGGTCTGACCCAGTATGGCCATTCTTATGAGCACTAAGAGTGCCTTTAGGCAGTTTAGCTTAATGCACTTCCAAAGTACATTAAGCTAATGTGCACAAAGGCATATTGGTGCACAGTAAGAGAGTGTCCACACAGGGAGTTAGTGTGGAGTAGCTAGCGTGTAGAGCTCCAGTGGACTTTCCCTGCCCATTTGGACAACCCCACAGTTAAAACATGGTGGCCATAAAACATATATATGCCCCCCCTTTTCAGACTAAGATTTAGAGTCTTGTAACTAATAAATGCATCCAACATGGGCCAGATTCAGCCAGGCCATAAGTGAGCACAATTCCCATTAACTTCATGGCTATAAAACCAACAGATTCATTTAGTCATCTTTTCACACTGCTGTAAATATATATTTCTCTGATGCTGCTTTTAGTAGCAGCAATTTTATGGGTAATTTATGAAAATCATAATGGAGAGTTTTGAACATACTTTAGTGCAGATAAAAACCTGCAGGTAGCAGCCTTTTGTCATGGCTACCTTTACAACAGAAGGCATTCCAGTTAGAATCCAACTGTACTTTAAGACATCTTACGGATTTAAATCACCCTTTAAAGAACATACCTGGGGTCACTGGAGCAGTTAAAAGTGCCTGTCCGTATTCCAAACCTTGATACTTTCTTCACCATTTTTTCCCAATGGACTTTACCCACAAGAGGACTTCTATCATTCGCTATCACCTATTGCCAAAGGGGGGAAAAAGCTTTAGTCCCAGAAACAAACTTAAATCAATGTTTACGACATCTGCTCTCCTACAATTAAGTTCACTTTTAATGAAAACAGAAACCGGTTCATCCTCAATATTTCATTTCCTCCAGAATATACTAAAGATTTCATTCTGAAGTTTTGTCTATCCCTAGCTAAATGACTGTGTTTGGTAAGTGAAGCTGTAACATTGGTAGTAGGAGTATAATGGTTTCTTGCCAAGAGAAAAACATGTCAGGGACATGACAACTAATATAATTATTTGCTACATACCAAAGCATCTAACATTTAATAGCAGCCTTGCAAAACTCATTAAAATTTACCAGCCCAGGTACAAAAATATGCTTGCTCTTTACCACAGTGAGGAAAATGTTAGTGATACATTACTCACCAGTCTCTCCTCTCTATCCCAATGAAAAACTAAAACCTACCCAAAAGAAGTTGACCCAGAGCAAGTAGAATTATACATAGCTGCTTTAGACTACACACAACCATTACCATATTAGACTCCCTTAAGCCATTTGCCAAAGGAGGCAATGCTGTCTAGTGATTAGATCCACAGATCGGCACCTAGGAATTTAATTCCAACTCTACCAGTCACTCACTCTAGGACTGTATGTAACTACTCCATGCCTCATTTGCAACATGAGGCTTCTTCCCCATTTGCAACATGAGGTTAATACTTAATTCACAGAGAGGTTCCAAGGCTTAGTTAATAATGTCTATAAAATGCTCAGAGCCTCTTTGATCAAAGGTGCCACAAATAAATGATTAAACACTCATCATCTGACTTATCAAAACCGAGGGAAAGAAAGAGAGTGTTAAAATACTGCCTGCAAGCTGCTGACAGGTAATTTTAAGTTATATGATTGATCACGAATCAATCAGTGTGACATTACAGTATCTACACACACTGCTTATTTTAGACATGCTTAATATGCCCTAAAAGCTGACTGGTTGTCACTTTCTAAATGATTTCAGACTTCAATTTTAAAACTCACCTTTGTCAAGTGTTTATTTTAATAAACACAGTAAAAGTGGTCCCAATGATCATCTGACCTAACAATCGGAAATTTCACACACACTGCAAAAGTTGCTATCTCCATCGTGATTAGCCACCCTATGTTGCTCGTGCAGGCGGCTGCAGTGTCATTGTGAGCAAACATTAGGACAACTGAAACATAATTAAAGATTGGATGGCCAGAACCAAAAACCCTAAGACAGCCAGAAACACTCTTCCATTGTATAGGGAAAAAACAAGGCTGTCGGAAGTCCAGAGGACAAATATATTTTAACATTACATAAAAGTGAAACACTACTTCACTGTCTCTCCCACTTTCATACTGCACTATACAATTACTTGTAATGACCGCCAAGAAAATACAACAGTCACTAGTAGGTGTCAGTGCAATTTGGCTGTTTGCACTGATTGCACCATTACAGCACAGTTGCATTATGTTCAAGTGACAAAAAGGCTTCTCTGTTGGAATTGGTTATTTATTTGCACTAGAGAATGAACACATTATTAGTGGTTTTAAACCATGACGGATCTAGTTAAAAAACTAATTTACAACATGGTTTTGCAAAATGAAGTTTTGCCAGCACATCTTGGAATTGTGTCTTTTGTTTTTTTTCTTTGTAAAATACTAAGATGGCAAAGAGCCATATATTGCAGCCACTCTGCACAGTGAACACCTGCTGACATCACTAGTTCAGTGCACAGACAGGGTAGGATTTTATCCTCTATGCATCACATTTCATGCTATACGTGTTCATAATCTGCAAATGGATCTCAGTTTGAATGGGAATTAATGTAATTAAATTTACATCATAATAGTCCATTAGGGATTTAATGTGTCAAGAGGACCCGGTATAATAACAAAAGTACTGTGTTAACCAACAATCCTGTATATATTAAAGATTATATGCATAGTCTGAGTCTAAATACAGGTGAGAAGGGTTGGTTGAGGTTACACAGTCCAGATCACTGATATCTGTATATGGAAGAGAGAAGACAAATTGCTGTCATGTAGCAATTAGTCAGGTAGAGTAGTGAGGCAACTTGGAGAGACATAATAGTCCAGTAGTTAGGGCACTAGCCTGGGAGATGTGGATTCAATTCCATGCTCTGCCACAAAGTGCCTGTGTGACCTTGGGTAAGTCATTTAGTTTCTCTAAGTCTCAGTTCATCTACAGAATTGAAGGGATGATTATTTTAAAAGATGATGAGATGCTCAGATACTATGATAATGGGTACCATCTATGTACTTGAAGATAGACCGGTGATCCCACTGATAAATGAAAAGTATGAAAGCAGAATTAAAGTTAGTATTGGATCGTTAATTATTTCCAGACTTCTGATGCTTAGGTTTTTTAATTACCACATTTTAAAAAACAAAAAGATACATGTCTATTATAACATTATATTAATATTCTAATACACAATAATATTGTTTTAAGATATTACTTAAAATTAAAATTAATATAGGAATATACAATATGGTAACAATGTAAAATCCTGTAGATTTTGACAGGAAATTGCACAATAAAACTTGCAATACAATAGCTTTGTTGACATTGGATTAGAGTGAAAGGTCCCAAACGATTTCAAGTGAAGTCTCAATGAAAATGTGTCTCAAAATTATGGGGCAAAGAGACCAAAAGCCCTTTAAGAACAGATATTTGGATGAGTAAGGTATAGATGCCTAGAACAACATCAGTAGGAAGTGGCTCTCCCTTTCCCCCCAACATGAAAGCATCTCAGACAATTGTGCAGCCAAATGGTTTCTCCATCATTAGCTAATCAGTATAGTTGCTACTTGCTTTTCCAATTGCCCTTATAAGGGTTTTTTTAAACTTTATTATTATTCCACTATAAGTCCCATACAAGTGTTGAAGGGTTTGATATAAGCCAATGAATTTGAGGAAATTAAACACTCCTACTGTCCAGATCAGCTGCTGTCTCTACGCAACATAGAAAGATCACTCCCTGTTCCATTACCCCAGAAATACACAAACATGAGTACAGCAGGGTAGCAGCATAAATTCTAAATTTCATTTCTGCTATTGGTTTAAGCCAGATATCCTTCATGCTATTTCATGCAGAGTTTTTTGCAGGTCATTATAATAATATCTAGTCCCTCATTAAATTTCCAAGAAGATGTGCAAACATCACAAGAATGTGAATGAAGGATCAAGCAGTTGACAAATGAAAACAAGAACCGCATTTAATTATAAAACTTTGGTATCGTCTCCAGTACAGTAGGTTATTTTAGCATTTTTGATTACTAAAAGATCCCCCCACCACACACACACCGTAGTTACGAGACATAGGATAAAAACGTTCTGTGCATTTGAGGCACAAGAGGGATTATGATGAGATGCAGGAGAGGGATTAGGTATATTTTGATACAAAAAACATTAAAATAAGATTAGACAATTTTAATGATAAATAATGCTTTCATCATATCACATACAGAATAAGGTATAATGCATACTAATTTAAAACAGGGTGGATTTGATTTAAATCATTATTTAAATCACTAGTCAGGAAGACTCGATTTAATCATGATTTTCTACCTAAAAGTGCATTCTTGTTGGTTGTTATAACCTTAATACATATTCTTCACAACTCAGAGATAGATGAAGTTTCATTTTTAGAGGTACACACTATACATTTTTAAACAGTGATTTATTCTGAAAACTTTTCAGATTAGTTTTACAGCTATATAAGAAAATGAATGAGTGTTTGGTTATTTCATTTACCAAAGGTAATTGAAGCAGATATTTATGAAGTCATTGGGAGGTGAACTATCTCCAATTCAACAGGTTAATAATTAATATTTGGATGATTTTCTTGCCATGCTGCATTAGGAGGAGAACATCACCAGACAGACATTTAAATTGTTTTATTTAACTAAAACAACAACATTAAGTAGCCTTGATTTTTTTCATCAACAGCAAACATATAATATTTTAACAAAACAAGCATATGTCCCTCCTTTCTCACATTTAGCTCCAGGCTTCTTCTCCTTGTCCAGATCTATTCCGCCCTCAACAATCTTCTATTCATTGAACTTTTTAAACTTTGCACTTTTAGAGAGAGAGGTAAGGGATTGACTCTGTGTACACAAATTTGCAGAGGGACAATAGAGTTGAGGTCTGTTATTTCTCACCTCTATATATTATTTAATTTATTTATTTAAAAACATTTTTCCTGTTAACAAGCATGTTACCTCTGGAGACACAAATCCACAGTTTGAGAACTGCAAAATTAAGCAACTAAGCATTGATTAAAGTAAGTTAATCAAGTGTGTGACCCGGGTCCTAGTGGGGAGCCAGCTGTGGTCACTCAATTAGGGTGAACTGCAAAGAATGGGGCAGACAATCTCCATAAAGCTGGTGGATATTTCAATACTTCGATTCACCAAACCAGCATAAAACAGCTTCTTTATTAACTTACTGGTTACTCAGATGGTATCTTCTAGACTGAGCACCGAGTCCCATTGGGTAGATAGAAAGATTAACCTAAATAATCTATACAGAAGCCTGTGGAACCCCATAAGATTGGGTCCCTAATCCATGAACTATTGGAACTCATTTACAAAACTTTTCTTAAATATTACATGACTATATTGTCTCATAGTATAGAATTAGAATTTATAATCCCATGAGGAGATATCTTTGAGCTATAATGTATCTTAATTAAAACTATCTTTCGAAGAAAAAAACTATCAAAAATTTTTTTTTTAAATCATTGATTTTTATCCATCCTGATTTAAAATGTAGTACTTTATCAAGAACACAGGGTGACTAAAGTTGTTTGACTGAAGAATCCCAATGTTGTTGTAGCTGTGTCGGTCCCAGGATATTAAAGACACAAAGTGGGTGAGGTAATACCTTTTATTATTAATCAATAAATAAATTAACCAATCTGATCTCTCTTGTACCTAGCTATGACTCTCTGAGTACGTTTCCCAGACCTGAAGAAGAGCTCTGTGTGAACTCAAAAGCTTGTCTCTCTTTAGGGTGACCAGATGTCCCGATTTTTGGGTCTCTCTTATATAGGCTCCTATTACCCCCCCACCCCCATCCCAATTTTTCACATTTGCTGTCTGGTCACCCTATCTCTCTTACTAACAGAAGTTGGTCCAATAAAAGATATTACCTTACCCACCTTGAATCTCTAAAGGAACCCAAAGCATTTTACAAACTAATATGGAGCCTACTTGGGGATCATTTCACCTATCTATGGTGAAACAGCAGCTGTTTGAAATAAATACCAACTTAAAAGAAAAAAGGGGACTGAACAGGGGTCTGACATCTGAGAAGAGTGCACTAACCACTGAGTTCTAGATATTCTGAAAAGGCCTCCCCCAGTCTCTTATGTTAAAGCTCTTCCGTTGTGGATAAATACTTAAAGTCACTGGGCCAGAGAGAGAGAGAGAGAGAGAGAGAGAGAGAATGTACTTTGTAGCCAG